ATAATTTAAAAGTAGAAAAGTTTACCTGGACTTAGTTTCACAGGGTTCAGTGCATGGTCAGTTGGTTCCAAGACACAAACATCATGGCAGAGGGATATGGCAAAGAAGTGTTTGCCTCTTGGCGACCAGGAGCAGAGAAGGAGCTGGAGGAGCCTCTAAGACAAGTGCTCTGCTCTTGAAAGGTACATCCCCAGGGACCGCCTACTGTAACTGTGCCCCACCTCTAATAGCATGCTCAGCTGTGAACTTGGCAGTGGATTAATGCGTGGTGAACAGTGACCCATGATTCAGTTGCCTTCTTCAGGTTCCATCTCTGAATGCATGAGGCTTTGGGGGGCATTTTAGATGGAATCTGTAACAGCACCTAAACTTTTAAACTCTGCAGGTATATAGAAGATTGCATGTAACTTAGACAAGAAATTAATACTAGCCCACACACTAGGGCAGAAAGAAATACTAGGAATATATCCACCAAAATATTTTTACAATAGGGAGAAAAGTGAGGAATTCCTGTTCAGGGGAATGGAGATGAGGACAGCCTAACACTTGTCTGATACAGTCTACAAGCAGAATGGAGAAAGAGTGGAAAATGCTATTTTGTGAGATTATGCCCGGGAAGGTTCTAGACTTGATTACAGATTAAGGCACATGTTTGAAGAAGCCCAGGGAACCTTAAGCTATATAAATAAAATTGTACAAGCACAGCACAAGACAAAGGACAGATTACCTTTAAAGGAATAACAATCTATTTTGCTACTAAGTTTTCAGCAATGACATCAGGGAAAGTTTCATTATGCTAAAACGAAAACAAGGAAGACCCCCAAGTCCCTGTTCTTAAAATTCTTACTCAATGAAGATAGTTGTCATGAATAGGGATTTTTGGAAAGCACTGTTTTCAGACAAACACAACTTGGGGAACATGCTACTTGTGGACAACCACTGAAGGAAATTCTCAAGGGTATTATTGCAGTTTGTATCTGGATATCCCCCCAAAGCCTCATGTAGTAATAGAGTGTAGGCTTTTTGGAGGTGGCTGAATTTAGCATTCATAGTCAGTTACTGGGATTAAGGGTGTGAGTGCTGCACACACCCTAGGGCAGATAACCTGCATACAACATAAGGGACAGAACGAGACTTGCCGTTTCTCTCTTCAGTTGTTGTTACTGCTGCTTCCCACCACCATGAACTGTTGCCCCGGTGCCGTGCCACTCTACCTTAGAGCCAGCCAGTTATCGACTGAAACCTCTACGACTGGACTGATTAAACCTTCCTCCCTTTAACCTTGAATGTGGAGCGTTTTGTCTCAGCAATGAGAAAAGTAACTAGGACAAGTATGGGAGCAGACAAAATTCATCCCAGATAGAAGAATCAATACTAAAACAGCAATAGCCATGAGTAATCCTGTGTTCTTGTAATAATCTCATGTACTCAGGAGACTGAGGCAGGAGGATCACAAGTTTGTGGCCAGTCTGAACATGTCAGCAAAATCTTATTTCAAAAATAAAAAGGGTGAAGAGGGCTGGCCATATAGCTCAGTGGATTAAAGCACCTACAAGCAGGTGCAGGAGCCAGGGTTTTTTTTTTTCAAAGTTTTATTGA